AAAAAAAAAAAAAAAAAAAAAAAAAAAAAAAAAAAAAAAAAAAAAAAAAAAAAAAAAAAAAACTAAGAGTATACAACATAGGCTAGTGACTATAAATAGAATACCCATTTGGCTAAAACTCAAGAAAAGAGTAAGCTAAGCATTTTCTTATCACCCACCAAAGAAGCAACAAGATGTCCCAATTCTGTGATCCTTCCGTTGTTAGTATGTTCTTCCTATCACTTATTCTTTTAATTCTTTTAATTGTTTTGAAGTTGTTTCCAAATGCTGTAATTGACATGTTTGCAAAATTTGAAGGTGTGGTATAGTTGAAATTAAATGTTCGAGTAATCTCTAAATATAAATATATAAATTTTTACGGTAACAATTCAAGCTCATTGCTAACATATATTATTTGCTTTGATCCGTTACGTATCGCTACAAGCTTCACAGTTTTTAAACACGTTTGTTATGGAAAGGTTTCCACGTCCTTATAAGTAGTGTATCGTTCCCCTCTCCAATTGATTTGTGATCTCACAATAGTGCGTGCCAACTCTACTGGCTACCCGCATGATCAACGTCCTACCATAGGACCGATCAACCTTGCAGGGATGGTCCATCCTATGGGAGGGGGTTGATCATGCGGGTAGATAGTAGAGCGTTAATCATGTGGATGGAGAAGGGAATGAAACATTGTTTATAAGGGTGTGAAAATCTATCTCTAGCGATGTGTTTTAAAATTGCAAGGCTGGCGATGATACATTACCAACCAAAACCGACAGTTTCGGTTAGTAGTGAGCTTGAGCTATTACTAATGATATCAGAGCTAGACACTGGATGGTGTGTCTACGAGAACGTTATATCAATTACAACTTTAAACTTTAAAAGTAAATCAATTTAGACTATCCAACATAATTTCGTTTTAAAAGAATTAATGCATAGCTTTCAAATATGCGATGTAAGTTAAAGAAAAATACGAGATTCGAATAGATACAGACAATTTTTCATCTTTCTCTACACTATAATTTTTCTTGAAGCTTAGGTGAAATTTTTGGAGAATAATAATGTTATGAAATGCTTTTGAATTGATTTTAAATAGAATCTAAGTGAAAATAATTATTCATTATTAATAAATTTTATTTATTTGCTTTGAATTTTTATTATTTCATTGGAGTTAGTATTAACAAATTTAACGCGAATGTGTGTTTTAAATAGAAAAAAGTGAATGGCCCGAGCTTGTGTTCGTAGAATATTCCGTTGCTGCTAGGATAATAGAAGAGGAGAATCCAAATGTCAAAGCACAAAAGATTCTTGCTGGGAGTTCAAGAGATCAAAAATTCGATCCTTCAAGGGTTTTTGTTGATGTCAATATTAATGATGTCGTTGTTGTAGTTCCAAAAGTAGGTTAAAGATTGCACACGAGTATGGTTGTGCAACTTATATGTATCGATATAAAGAATATGAAATTACTAATAAGGTAGTAGCTAACTACCACTTTAATTACTAAATTGTTCCAATGTTATCGTACTATTTCTATTATTAATAATGCATGCCAAACTTGGTCTTTTACTTACTAATTTGTCGCCACGATTTTACTTTCTCTTTACGTGGAGGAATTCAAATCTCTGACCTCTTGTTTGAGGGTACAATTTTATGTTATGTTAGCAATTTCACCATTACATATATCGTAAAAACTAATTGACTAAAGCTTCTTGAAGTAAAATCATCGTCCAATTTCATGTGATAGACAAACAAATGTTAATGTGCAAACAAATAGCGCTCGTAGAAGAAATGAAGGCACATCTCCGTCTAAGAAGCAAATATCATCGTAAAAATCGAATTTGAAGTGATATTTACGAGAGTACATGTACATATAGCTACAAACATTGATGTGCAAGCAAATAGCCGATGATAGTTGTATGTACACGTATTCTTGTAAAGGTTTTATTTGTTTTAACATTAAAAAGAAATGAAAAACTAATGTGAAATCAAACTTGATCGTAATTGTCTAATGATCTCCTTAGCAAATATCATCGGCTAGCTCAAATGTCTTTGTCCTTACTTGAACAAGAATGTTTGAACCATGCTCAACTCAATTGAAACGAGTTGAACCGATGTTAAGCCAGCCCAAATTGCCTGCACTAATCAACCCAAAAGACGTTGAACCATTGTGTACAAGTTGAGCTACTACGAATTTACGAATTGAATATAAATATGTTCAACTGTTTGAACCAACCACTAGATTGGGTTAAACTCACTAAATTAATGGCCAATTGCTAAACCAATGGAAACTCGTAGAAGCTATCTCAATTCCCACTCATGTGAGATTTAACACAATTAGTATAGTTCCTCTATGGCGACCCTAAATTAATGTCGCTAACACATGCATAACATGACTAATACATTCAGAAAACATACATGATACGATAAGGAATCACTACAAGATAACCTTTTCTCCACATCTTCATTGAAGCATATTGTATGATTGATGTCTCTTGGTTCATATCATTCTCCACTTCTTCAAGAGGATTCGTCCTCGAATCTATTTGTGAAACTTTGCTGCAAAAAATAAGTTATGGAAATACGAAGGACCTCACAACACTCTCTCACGTGTATACACTCAAGGAATTTTAGGCCACTCTGTTTGCACTCATTTACACAAATGAAGCTCTCATTCTCACCTCTCAAAATTTTAAATAGAGCAAAGATTGAATTTTGAACTTTGGGTCGATTAAAAACTAAAAAGATGAAAATAAATAAAAAACAAATTGAAAAGAAACGCAAAGGAAACATATATCCGATCTTGAGCCTGAAGCTCTGATACCAAATGATAAGATAAGGAATCAATACAAGGGGAATAAGATTCGGATTACCTTGTCGATCGAATATCTCAAGCCAAGAACACTTTGTTTGAGATTCGAATCACTCCAGAAGCAAGATCGATCATGTCTAGCTTCAATGATTCTTGTTGATCAAATATCTCAAGACAAGAACACTTGTTTGAGATTCGAATCACTCCACAAGCAAGATTGATCATGTCGAGCTTGAATGATTCTACATGCAACCTAAACTACATAGAGTTGCAAAGAAACTTAGCCATTGGCTAAAGAAAAGCACAAATGCTTCTTTTGATATATCTTCTAAGTCTTATTACAAATACAACATAGATGGCTTTATATAGCCTCAAAATGAAAGGCATTCCAAAAGTTGTAACATTCACACTTTATGGCCATAATTAGCCATTATGTAAATGTAACCGAAATTAAATAAAAAGTCATAAAACACAATAACTCTAAATTATAACCCACCCAAAATTTACAACAATCAAACTTTATTCTTCTTCAATGTAGCATGAATTGAAACATCTTTTGATTATTTTGATAACCTTTTCTCCACATCTTCATTGAAGCATATTGTATGATTGATGTCTCTTGGTTCATATCAATACATCTAAAATATTTAACAAACATTTTCATGGACCAATCATTGGTAAGTTATGAAAGAAGTCAATGAAGCTGTTATATTTCAGCTGTATCTGTTAGTGCCATTTTTGGTTTGGATGAGTTAGACTTACTCTTTATCATTCCTATTCTTTTCGTTTTTACTATTTGCATACATAATTTGTCGAGTTTAAGTTCTTCTTCTTCACTAGATATTAAATTAATGTTCTTTAAACTCTTTGTTTCGTCTCGTCAAGAGATTTGTTATGGTCTTTTTTTTTTTTTATTAAAAAAAGTCGTCGAAAAAAGTGTTGACTTTTAACACAAGTTTTTTTACAACTTGCTTAAGATGACTTGTTTTGATTATTCTCATTAGCTTTTTGGTATTTTGGTCTTTCACTTAAGACTTTTGGTTGGGAGTAATGTTTAAGTTTAATGAATTTGACTCCTCTTTTAATAAATATGCTATAAATTTTTTTATAATATTCCAAAATCTTCTATAATCTTAAATAAATAAAAAAATAGTAAACATGCTTGAGATGCATATATGTATGTATGAAGATATTAGACATGATAGATATCGACAAGATGAGACCTAATTTATCATATCAACAATAAGTTTTTGTGTTTGTTGATATCGATATATGAAATTGATTGATATATTGAAATGATGCATCGATACATTAAAATCACCATGCATATCAACATTTATAATAAATAAATTAATATGATCCGTATCTAACGAAACGAACAAAATCTTTTAAAAAAACATGACTTTGAAAATAAAATAAATTAAAGAATAAAAACGGTAATAGGCAAATTTGAGAACAGGAACAAAGTATTCCACTAAGGGCAGCGGACAGTGGCTATAAATACAAATCCCATTTCGCTAAAACATATTCAACACAAAAGCTTAAGCTAAGCATTTACATATAACTAACCAAAGCATTCAACAAAATGTCTGATTCCCGTCCTCACAGTATGTTCTTCCTATCAGTTACTCAAATGTGTTCGATAGCTAACGATTTAGCTTATGAACGTTACTGTATAATGATTTAGTATCTTTATTTCAAATTTATAACAATTTATGTTTTTTTTAGTTTATTTTCAAATCCTCCTGATTTGAAACATTTATCCTTGGTTTGTTCATTTTTATTTTCAAGTTTTTAAAATTTATGTTTATTCCTACCAATTTTGAAATTTTATATATATGATTATATAACGATTTATTGAATTCTACATTTTGTTGGTAGAGTTATGTGTATTAGCAAATTTAACACGAATATATGTTTTAAATAGGAAAAAGTGAATGGCCTGAGCTCGTGGGAGTAAAATTTTCTGTTGCTGCTGAAATAATAGAAAGAGAGAATCCTTGTGTCAAAGCCCAAAAGATTCTAGCTTGTTGTTACGAAAAATCAGAGTTCGATCCTTCACGAGTTTGGGTTCGTGTCAATATTAATGATGTCGTTGTTTTCGTTCCTAAAGTTGGTTAAAAATTGCACACAAGTATAGTTGTGTAAGTTATATGTATCAACATAAATAATATGAAATTACTAATAAGGTAGTATGTAACTGCCACTTTAATTACTGAATTGTTCCAATGTTATCGCACTATTTTATGTTATTAATAATGCTTTTACTTTTTCATATTTTATTGGTTCAATAATATGCGGTGCATTGAATCTTTTGTTCGAGAATTTAGATTTTGTGTTAGTTCACTTATTGATTTCACTTTTATATCATTCTTAACATAAATATAATGGAGACGTGCATCAATTTCATACACATTCCTATGTGCTCCATTTTGGTACATACATAACTTACCAAACTCATATCAATTTCATAATCCTTCGATCTCATAATATCAAAAAAATTGTAAAAGAAAAAGTAAATAAGGACATATCTGTAACTCCTAGCCTAGGGTTTGAATAAGGATTCGGAATCCGGATTTAGCACCTTCTAATGGGGAGTTACAAATGGTATTAGAGCGATACCTCTCCCAGTAAAATGTGGTTCGAACATGAATCAAGACAGTAGCTGATGGGCATGTACACCCATGTAAACGAGGGACATATGAATTAATCGTGACCACATCTAAATGAGAGAGATCTTGAGGAAAGGATGACTAAGAAAAAATTAAAAGAAATGAAAGTTACTACTTGTACCAATAAGGTGTGCACAATCGTAGTAAATTCTATGTTGGGTGACCTCTTGAGAATTCTCGTAGAATGCATGTGACTGAGGATAAAGTATGATTAAAAAGACTCGTGTTGGTTTGTGAGAATAGTTTTCACTCTTAGAAACAAGAAGTAAGTAACGTGACCATATCGCAAGGGATTGTCGAGGCCATTAGAAAGTGTCTAATCAAAATTTCAAATCTTGATTCGAATCCTAGACATGGGGCGTTACAAAAACCATATCAATAGAACCACATCCACCTTGGTTCGTCTTCGAACCACATCTTAAAATCATGGTATAATTAGTATTAATTTTGTTATCATAGCATCTTAGGTTTATGCCTTTTAAGTTTTATCTTAAAGACAAGTTGCGGAGTAAGTAATTTAAATGTTTTTTTTTTTTTGTTTTTTTGTATGTTTGTTTGTTTACAAATTCATGAAGATGTGCTATTACAACACTTCAAATTAATTTTAAAAAAATTTAGATAACCTTAAAAAAAAAATAGACATTTTTCCAAGGTTCTTGATAATATTGGATAAAAACTTGAATATAAACGTGGTTAAAAAGTGTTTGTATAACATGGTAAAAGATACTTATTTTAAAGTTTTTCTTTTTATAAGCTATTTTCAAAAGTTTTACATAATCTAAAAAAAAGTAGACGTCTTTCCCGTACTATTTGGTAATATGAAATACTTCGTCTACAATTTTAATAAATTCCTATTTTTTCCTTTTTTAACGAATACATCACTTTGACTATAGATAACGGTTGAATTCAATATGTGCAATGAATTTTGACGAGATGGATGCGTGCATTGTGACTCCTACACATGTCTTGATTTTATGGTCGTTTGATGTATGCGATGTTATGTTTTTGTTATGTTGTCAGATAT